AACAAGCAACACTTAGTGGGCCAGCCAGAGGCTTAGGGCCCGCGCAGGAATTTACCTGGAGAGGAAAAAAAACAAAAAAAAGTTGCAGTGAGAACGTGGGCCTGCGAGCTGCTCCAAGCAACAGCCTGTTAGACCAAGTTATCACAAGTCGAATCTGGCCCCCGACCTGGTTTGGGGGCTAGGAAAGTTTTCCAGAACCCGCTCCGGGCATCCTCCAGGTATATTCCCGGTATACTCCGGATTGGGTTAGTACCAGATTCTGGGAGTTCTTCTACTCCCCAAGCCCGGCCCGAGGCCAGGCTTGACTTGTGAGAGTTTGGTCCACCAGGCTGTTGCTTGGAGCGGCCCGCAGGCCCACATACCCACCACAGCCCGGTTGGTCCGGCACTCCTTGGAGGAAACAGTCTAGGTTCCTCTTGAAAATGTCCACGGTTGTTCCGGCAATATTTCTTATGCTCGCTGGGAGGACGTTGAACAACCGCGGACCTCTGATGTTTATACAGTGTTCTCTGATTGTGCCTATGGCACCTCTGCTCTTCACTGGTTCTATTCTGCATTTTCTTCCATATCGTTCACTCCAGTACGTTGTTATTTTACTGTGTAGATTTGGGACCTGGCCCTCCAGTACTAGTATTTTCCATGTGTATCTCTGTATTCCCTCTATTTCAGCAATCTCTCCTGCTCTGAAGGGGGAAGTGAGTACTGAGTACTCAAAACGGGACAACACAAATGATTTGAAGAGTACAACCATTGTGATGGGATCCCTGGATTTGAAAGTTCTCGTAATCCAGCCTATCATTTTTCTGGCTGACGCAATATTTGCTTGCTTATGCTCCCTAAACGTTAGGTCGTCAGACATCATTATTCCCAAATCCTTGACATGCTGTTTTCCTACTATGGGCAGATTCGATTGTGTTTTGTACCCTGTATTATGTTTCAGATCCTCATTTTTGCCGTATCTGAGTACCTGAAATTTATCACTGTTAAACATCATGTTATTTTCTGCTGCACAATCGAAAACTTTGTTAATATCTGTTTGTAGTTTTTTAATGTCTTCAGCAGAGGTAATTTTCATGCTGATTTTTGTGTCATCTGCAAAGGATGACACGAAGCTGTGACGTGTATTTTTGTCTATATCAGATATGAGAATAAGGAACAGCAGTGGTGCAAGGACTGTACCCTGAGGTACAGAGATTTTAACTGCGCTCGGACTCGATTTTATTTGATTGACTGTTATCCTTTGTGTTCTGTTCAACAGGAAATTGAGTATCCAGCGTCCCACTTTACCAGTTATACCCAATGACCTCTTCTTGTCTGCTATCACTCCATGGTCACAATTGTCGAATGCCTTTGTAAGATCTGTGTATACAACATCTGCATTCTGTTTTTCTTCTAATGCCTCAGTGATTTTGTCGTAATGGTCAAGTAGCAGTGAGAGGCATAATCTTACCGCTCTGAATCCATGTTGGCCTGGGTTGTGGAGGTCATTGGTTTCAATGAATCTAGTGACCTGACTCCTAATCACTCTCTCAAATACTTTTCTTATGTGGGACGTTAGTGGAACTGGTCTATAATTCTTTGCCAATGCTTTGCTCCCTCCCTTGTGTAGATGGGCAATGTCTGCTGCTTTAAGCGCATCTGGTATCTCCCCCGTGTCCAAGCTCTTCCTCCACACTATACTGAGTGCCTGTGCTACTGGCACTTTGTATTTCTTTATAAATATTGAATTCCATGAGTCTGGACCTGGGGCCGAGTGCATGGGCATATTGTCAATTTCTCTTTCAAAATCTGCTACGCTCGTGTTGATATCAGTTATATTTACAGGTGTTTGGATATCACGCATAAAGATATCCGTATCTTCCACTTTCATTCTGTGTATCGGAGTGCTAAACATGTCCTCATACTGCTTTTTTTAGGATTTCGCTAATTTCTTTGTCATCCTCCGTGTATGAACCTTCACTAATACGAATAGGTCTAATACTGGCAGTGGTTTTTGCTCTTGATTTAGCATATGTGAAGAAATATTTTGGGTTTTTCTTTATTTCGTTAATTGCTTTCCGTTCTAGTTGTCTTTCTTCAGTCTGATAGGAATGCTTCAGTCTCTGTTCGATTTCTTCAATCTCCCTGTTTAAATTATTCCTTCTTTGTATGGAGAGTCGTGTCTGCTTAAGCATTTCCGTTAATTTCTTCCTTCTTTTGTAATGTCGTCTGCGTTCTCTTTCTACATTGGACCTCTTTCTGGCTTTCCTCAAAGGAACATGTTTCAGACAGACTTCATATGCTTCAGAAGTCAGTTTTTCTATTCCTTGTGTAGGATTTTTATTTCTTAGAACATTTTCCCATTGAATGTTTGTAAGTTCCCTGTTTATTTTCTCCCAGTCTATCCTCTTATTATTAAAATTGAATTTATTGAATAGCCCTTCTCGCTTATTGTTTCTCTTGGGCCTACTACCGTTATTAATGTTAGTTTGCACTTCAATGAGCTTGTGGTCCGAGTACGTAGTGTCTGAGACAATAATGTCTCTGATTAGCTCATTATTGTTCGTGAAAATCAGGTCCAGCGTGTTTTCGTTCCTAGTTGGTTCTGTAATCTGCTGACTGAGCGAGAATTTGTCACAGAATCTCAGTAGTTCTCTGACCTGTGGTTGGTTATTTCCAGGTTGATTTCCTGCTATAATGTTATTGTTTACTATTCTCCATTGTAAACTGGGTAGATTGAAGTCTCCGAGGAAGATGATGTCTGGTACTGGGTTTGCTAGGTTATCAAGGGTATTCTCTATTTTGTGGATCTGTTCAGTGAATTCCTCAACTGTTGCATCTGGTGGTTTGTATATTAAAATAAGTAAATTTATATTTTCTACCTTGATTCCAAGTACCTCTACCACCTCATTGGTCGAGTTCAGGAGCTCTGTGCATGCCAGCTCCTCATTAATATACAGACCTTTCAAACCTTTCAGATGAAATCTTATGTTACAGATGCAACACTTGACGCCTACAGTTCGTCTTCCAAATACTCCCGAACACTCGCCACACACCTCCATTGTCTGATGTATTGTATTGTATTTGTGTTTCACTGTATGGATCACTTGCTGATTTCAGTAATTTTACTATTTACAATATTATATTTATATATTTATAATATTTTATGTATACCGTATATTTGTAATATTATATGTTACTTTGTTCAAACTTTACGGCTAGATACTTAGCGTGGGGTAGCGAAGATACTTACCTAATTGTTTTCACCTAATTGTGTTTGCGGGGGTTGAGCTCTGGCTCTTTGGTCCCGCCTCTCAACTGTCAATCAACTGGTGTACAGATTCCTGAGCCTACTGGGCTCTATCATATCTACATTTGAAACTGTGTATGGAGTCAGTCAGATGTCCCAGGATGCATGCCACCAGTTTCCAGTTATTTGATTTATAAAACTGATTTATTATTTGCTTGTATTATTACAAGGAATTCTCTGCCTAACTTCCGACTTGCAGTGGTATTCACTCACTCTATTACTATCCTAGATCCACATATGGCCGGAGTATGCCACTCCGGGCATACTCCAGGTATACTCCGGGCATACTCCAGGCATACTCCGGGTATAGTTAGACCAGGAAAGGCAGGCCGTAAGGACAGGAGCAGCAGGAGGCAGCATCATGGGCTGACCTTCACTAACAAAACACCTCCAAGTCACACCCAATAAAGTAAGCCTATGGCAGAAAGTAGTCCCATTGTACAACAAAATATGCCAGGGGTAGCCACCAAAACAGGCCTGTGTTGCACCCATTAAAAACGGACCAGTAGCACAAACAGGCCTATAGAACACCAACAGAACAAGTCTATGGCATACCATATAATGAGCCATCAAAGAAACAAAATACACAGTTCAGATAGTAAAACAACTCACAAACATCACCACTAAAGCCTAAACAAGGACACATGGAGAGAGAGAGAGAGAGAGAGAGAGAGAGAGAGAGAGAGAGAGAGAGAGAGAGAGAGAGAGAGAGAGAGAGAGAGAGAGAGAGAGAGAGAGAGAGTGACAGAGAGAGAGACAGAGAGAGAGAGAGAGAGAGAGAGAGAGAGAGAGAGAGAGAGAGAGAGAGAGAGAGAGAGAGAGAGAGAGAGAGAGAGAGAGAGAGAGAGAGAGAGAGAGAGAGAGAGAGAGAGAGAGAGAGAGAGAGAGAGAGAGAGAGAGAGAGAGAGAGAGAGAGAGAGAGACGCCAGGCACCCTGAACAAAATGCGGGGAGCGGCGGGCCACATCCCTCCCGGTGTCAACAAAGCAGCTGAGATAATTTGACTAATGGCATCCTATCCCTTCGGCATTATGGCGGCTCCAGTCCTATTGTGGTCCAGTCTCACACTCACACACACACACACACACACACACACTCACACACACACACACACACACGCACACACACACACACACACACACACACACACACACACACACACACACACACACTTCTCTATTTCAAACTCAATCTGCTCTTTTTATTCTCTCCATCTACGCTTTCCTTGTAAGTTGCTCGTACAAGTTAGTGGTTCAGTTGTGAAAGTTCGTCACAACCTAAGTTTTTGGTTCTGATGTGTATATTACTTCCCTACAACATACAACTCGTGTATATTACCTGCCACAGCCTCGAGGTAACCCCCCCCCCTAGATCACACTAGTATCCCCCCCCTCCACCATAGCCGACGTATATAAACATCAAAACAATCTTGACAGACCAACATACTTAGGTAAATTGTAGTGAAGCTGGCCCGGCCCAACCATAAATATAAGAGAAAACGGCGCCGGCCAGATTTATTTACCGGGTGGACTATAATATTCATCCCGGTGTCCTCTTGCCCAATACCCGGCTTTACCTGGTGCTTCCCGGTACCGGGTGTCTCCCTCCTCCCCTCCACACCAGCACGAGGGCGAGGAATAACACGTGACGGAGCCATTTAGCAAGAGCAATAAGACAGAGATTACGGCAGCTCCACATTCTTCACGGCTTACCTGGAGAAGCAGAGCCGGCGCTGCAGGTGTGGCGGCAGGTGTGTGGCGGCAGGTGTGTGGCGGCAGGTGTGTGGCGGCAGGTGTGGCAAGAGCTCCTCAAGCTACTTTACTCGTCCAAACCTGTACCGAATGTTGTTTGATTCTTATTCCGTTGAACACATATATTAACATGGACGTACACAAACAGTTATGTACACAAATGAGTGTACACAGAAGCCTGGTTAGCAAGCGTGCGTGCACACACACACACACACACACACACACACACACACACACACACACACACACACACACACACACACACATAATCTACCTACCTACCCAAGCCCTACCCCCAGACCTTCCTACCTACCTTCCAAGATGCCCAGCCCCCATTCACCCCCCAGACCCCCAGAGAAAGGGTAAACTCTGGTGCCAGAGTTTCCATGAAGAATCTCAAGGTTTGGTACACTAATGCTGCTGGGGCATCTAATAAAGCAGAAGAGGTAAAAGAAAGAGTGAGGCAGATCCTGACATAGTTGCAATAGTGGAAACTAAAATAAATGGCATGATCTCGTATACAATCTTTCCAGAGGGGTACCAGGTGATAAGAAAAGAGAGGACACAGAGACAAGGGGGGGGGGGGGAGGAGTGGCACTCCTAATAAAGCGGAAATGGAAGTTTGAAGACCTGGGAAATATGGTTACCAATGAGAGCACAAGCTTCATACATGGAACTCTGACAGTAGATGGGAGGAAGATTGTGATCTGCATATTTCTGGACTGCCAAAAAGCCTTTGATACAGTACCGCACATGAGACTGCTGTTCAAGCTCGAGAGGCAGGCGGGGGTGGGGGGAAAGGTCCTAGCATGGATAAGGAACTACCTAACAGGAAGGAGCCAAAGAGTTACGGTAAGGGGGCGAGAAGTCGGACTAACGAACAGTAACAAGTGGAGTACCACAAGGATCGGTGCTGGAACCAATTCAATTTCTAATATGTTAACGACATGTTTAAAGGAGTAGAGTCCTAACTGTCAATATTCGCGGATGACCCAAAGTTGAAAAGAGGTGTAACAGATGAGGATTGTAGGATCCTCTAAGAGGACTTGAACAGGTTACAGAGGTGGTCAGAGAAATGGCTACTGGAGTTCAACACGAGCAAATGTAAAGTTATGGAAATGGGACTAGGTGATAGGAGACCAAAAGGACAATACACAATGAAGGGGAACTGGCTACCTGTGATGACCCGAGAAAGAGACCTGGGCGAGGACGTAACACCTAATCTATTTCCTGAAACAGTTAAGCAAATCCCAGCTGTGTCTGGGTACAAGTGACAGGATGAACAACCAAGCGGGTTTTCTTCCTATTGGGGAGTGTTGTACATACTGCTATGGCGGTGTGTCCACTCACAGGATGAGTGGCGCTGCCCAATACTGTCACTATGGCGGTGTGTCCACTCACAGGATGAGTGGCGCTGCCCAATACTGTCACTATGGCGGTGTGTCCACTCACAGGATGAGTGACGCTGCCCAATACTGTCACTATGGCGGTGTGTCCACTCACAAGATGAGTGGCTCTGCCCAATACTGTCACTATGGCGGTGTGTCCACTCACAGGATGAGTGGCGCTGCCCAATACTGTCACTATGGCGGTGTGTCCACTCACAGGATGAGTGACGCTGCCCAATACTGTCACTATGGCGGTGTGTCCACTCACAAGATGAGTGGCTCTGCCCAATACTGTCACTATGGCGGTGTGTCCACTCACAAGATGAGTGGCGCTGCCCAATACTGTCACTATGGCGGTGTGTCCACTCACAGGATCAGTGGCGCTGCCCAATACTGTCACTATGGCGGTGTGTCCACTCACAGGATGAGTGACGCTGCCCAATACTGTCACTATGGCGGTGTGTCCACTCACAAGATGAGTGGCTCTGCCCAACACTGTCACTATGGCGGTGTGTCCACTCACAAGATGAGTGGCGCTGCCCAATACTGTCACTATGGCGGTGTGTCCACTCACAGGATGAGTGACGCTGCCCAATACTGTCACTATGGCGGTGTGTCCACTCACAAGATGAGTGGCTCTGCCCAATACTGTCACTATGGCGGTGTGTCCACTCACAAGATGAGTGGCGCTGCCCAATACTGTCACTATGGCGGTGTGTCCACTCACAGGATGAGTGACGCTGCCCAATACTGTCACTATGGCGGTGTGTCCACTCACAAGATGAGTGGCGCTGCCCAATACTGTCACTATGGCGGTGTGTCCACTCACAGGATGAGTGACGCTACCCAATACTGTCACTATGGCGGTGTGTCCACTCACAGGATGAGTGACGCTGCCCAATACTGTCACTATGGCGGTGTGTCCACTCACAAGATGAGTGGCGCTGCCCAATACTGTCACTATGGCGGTGTGTCCACTCACAGGATGAGTGGCGCTGCCCTATAAACTCGCTCCTCGGGGCAAAATTGAAAAAAAAGGAACTAATACATATACGACCATAACGATTATTGTATGTACGAATGTACATACAAACGGGTATGGCCACATATATAAATACATATACATAAAGAGTATACATGAGCCCGGAAGTGCAAAGTACACATGTGTAAATATGTGTAAAACCTGACTAATTGTCGTGAGGGTGATAACACCAGGGGGGGGAGGCCCGAGGCCCCTAGTGTATACTAATGATTCTACATGCACTCACAACCTGCTGCGTGGTGGCTGTGGGGGCTGTGGTGACTGTGGTGCTGTGGTGGCTGTGGTGACTGTGGTGCTGTGGGGGCTGTGGTGCAGCCATCACAGTCTGTGAGAGTTACACTGGTGGTCAACAGTCTCAGCTTCACCAGGAAATATAATAAAGAAATATAAGATTGAGAAATTTCAACGCAGCAGATATGGAGATCTCGGTGGCGGGGCCCTGAGAGCCAGATCTTACTCGCAGTATACACTGATATATATAATTCACCCTGATGCCTCTGTTAACCTAGCAGAAATAGGTACTTGAGAGTTAGACAGCTGTTACGGGCTGCTTACTGTGTGTGTGTGTATGTGTGTGTGTGTGTGTGTGTGCGCGCGCGTGTGTATTCACCTATTTGTGTTCGGGGGGTTGAGCTATGCTCTTTCGGCCCGCCTCTCAACTATCAATCAACTGTTTACTAACTACTATTTTGTCCCCCACACCACACACACACACACACACACAACACACACACACACACACACACACACACACACACACACACACACCAGGAAGCAGCCCGTGACAGCTGACTAACTTCCAGGTACCTATTTACTGCTAGGTAACAGGGGCATTCAGGGTGAAAGAAACTTTGCCCATTTGTTTCTGCCGGGTGCGGGAATCGAACCCGCGCCACAGAATTACAAGTACTGCGCGCTATCCACCAGGCTACCGGGGCCCTGACACACACACACTGTGTGTGTGTGTTCTCACGTAGTTGTACTTACCTAATTGTGCTTGCCGGAGTTGAGCTCTGGCCCTTTGATCCCGCCTCTAAGCTGTAAATCAACTGGTGTACAGATTCCTGAGCCTACTGGGCTCTATCATATCTACATTTGAAACTGTGTATGGAGTCAGTCTACACCACATCACTGCCTAATGCATTCCACCTGTTAACTACTCTGACACTGAAAAATGTGTCTGTAATGTAATGTTCTTTGTAATGTCTCTGTGGTTCATTTGGGTAGTTAGTTTCCACCTGTGTCCCCTTGTTTGTGTTCCACCCGTGCTAATGATTTTGTCTTTGTCCACCCTGTCAATTCCCCTGAGAATTTTGTAGGTGGTTATCATGTCTCCCCTTACTCTTATGTTTTACAGGGACGTGAGGTTCAGCTCCTTCAGCCTTTCCTCATAGCTCATACCTCTCAGTTCCGGGAACTGTGTGTGTACTCACCTATTTGTGTCTGCAGGATCGAGCATTGACTCTTGGATCCCGCCTTTCGAGCATCGGTTGTTTACAGCAATGACTCCTGTCCCATTTCCCTATCATACCTGGTTTTAAAATTATGAATAGTATTTGCTTCCACAACCTGTTCCTGAAGTGCATTCCATTTTTCCACTACTCTCACGCTAAAAGAAAACTTCCTAACATCTCTGTGACTCATCTGAGTTTCCAGCTTCCACCCATGTCCCCTCGTTCTGTTACTATTCCGTGTGAACATTTCGTCTATGTCCACTCTGTCAATCCCCTGAGTATTTTATACATTCCTATCATGTCCCCCTCTCCCTTCTTTTTCTAGTGTCGTAAGGCACAGTTCCTTCAGGCGCTCTTCATACCCCATCCCTCGTAACTCTGGGACGAGTCTCGTTGCAAACTTCTGAACCTTTTCCAGTTTCCTTTATGTGCTTCTTCAGATGGGGACTCCATGATTAGGCGGCATACTCTAAGACTGGCCTCACGTAGGCAGTGTAAAGCGCCCTAAATGCCTCTTTACTTAGGTTTCTGAATGATGTTCTAACTTTTGCCAGTGTAGAGTACGCTGCTGCCGTTATCCTATTTATATGAGCCTCAGGAGATAGATTAGGTGTTACGTCCACGCCCAGGTCTCTTTCTCTCGCGTCGTCACAGGTAGGCAGTTCCCCTTCATTGTGTACTGTCCCTTTGGTCTCCTATCACCTAGTCCCATTTCCATAACTTTACATTTGCTCGTGTTGAACTCCAGTAGCCATTTCTCTGGCCATCTCTGCAACCTGTTCCAGTCCTCTTGAATAATCCTGCAATTCTCATCTGTCACAACTCTTTTCATCAACTTTGCATCATCCGCAAACATTGACATGAACGACTCTACTCCTGTAAACATGTCGTTAACATATATTAGAAATAGAATTGGTCCCAGCACTGATCCTTGAGGTACTCCACTCGTTACGGTTCGCCAGTCCGACTTCTCGCCCCTTACCGTAACTCTTTGGTTCCTTCCTGTTAGGTAGTTCCTTATCCATGCTAGGGCCTTTCCTCCCACCCCCGCCTGCCTCTCGAGTTTGAACAGCAGTCTCATGTGCGGTACTGTATCAAAGGCTTTTTGGCAGTCCAGAAATATGCAGTCTGCCCAACCTTCTCTGTCCTGTCTTATGTTCGTTATTTTATCATAGAATTCCAAAAGGTTTGTTAGGC